GTGTGTGTCTGTGTCTGTCTGTCTGTCTGTGTCTGTCTGTCTGTCTGTCTGTCTGTCTGTCTGTGTCTGTGTCTGTGTGTGTGTGTGTGTATATAGGGGTGTGGAGTTACCTGCAGAGGGATGTCCTCAGGAGATACAGTCAAGAGAATAATGTCATAAATGTGATCATGGGACCCATATTTGACCACGACCACGATGGACTGAGAGACACAGAAGAGAAGATCAAAGAGTGAGAAACTCACAACCCTGACCCTCATGTTATGTTTATTAACATGTTTAAATTATTATGTAAAATTAATTGTTATTAATATAAAATTCTTATTTTATCTTGTTAAATATTATTTATTTTAAATATAAATCTAATTTTTATAGTTAGTTACATACATGCATTATATATAAATATGTATATTTTTAAATATGTAACTATTTCTGTTATTAATGTTATTTAATTTATTTGTAATAAATAGTAAATGATTATTTTATTATATATTTAATGAATTATAATTAATTAAATATAATTGAATAATATTTTATATTATTCTTGAGTAATTTTAAATGATTACATGTTGTGTGTTTCTGAAGTGTGTATGTGATCTGCGCTTCTGCGGTGTGTTGCAGGCACACACTGGGCTCCGTCTTCATCCCCACTCACTTCTACAGCATCATCAGCAGCTGCGAGAAACTCAACGAGACGCTGGACGAGTGTGACGGAGATCTGAGAGTCACCTGCTTCATCCTGCCACACAGAGCAGACAACAGAGAGAGCTGCAACGTCAGTAACACACACACACACCCTCTCTCTCTCAGACACGCACATATACACACTCACATACTCACACACACACACACACACTCCCTCTCTCTCTCAGACACACACATATACACACTCACACACACACATACTTACACACACACACACACTCTCTCTCAGACACATACATATACACACTCACACACTCACATACTCACACACACACACACCCTCTCTCAGACACACACATATACACACTCACATACTCACACACACACACACTCTCTCAGACACACATATACACACTCACATACTCACACACACACACACTCTCTCAGACACACATATACACACTCACATACTCACACACACACACAAACACACTCTCTCTCTCTCACACACACACACTCCATTCCTGCTCACTTGAACACTCACACACTCTTCAAATGGGGTTAGTCACATCTTTGGCCCCATTAGCAGCTCCTGCATCGTCCTGCCACTGAACTTCACTTCATTAGGTTTGTTAGGTTAATGCCTGATGCACTAAAGTTAAAGTTTGCTTAGTTTTATCCAGCCTTTTCTGTTTGTTAGTTTGGACCTTGGCTAGAACATTAAATAAATATAAATATAAAGCTTTAACAACATAAACAAAAGTATTATAACAAGAAAGGCTCCAATACAGAGCGGCACAAAGCGCTTATGCGCATCCCGTGTGCAGAATGATGCGCTTGAAAGCAACACGGAGTCACAGCGCGCAGCATAGAAAAGTTCAAAGCACAAAGGGAAGAGACATTGATGCGTAGTGTATTATATCTGTGCAATAGTTTGAGCCTTTTCTTTTAACAGTTTTAAATTTCAGTTACTGTGCGCGTGAAGAACAATTCATAGTGCTCTGTACGCCAGTGTAGTGATCTCTAACAGACACCCGGGAGAAAGTTACATGATTTAGAATTAGCTATAAGATCCAGCAAGATAAAGTCCTTTTATGCAAAACCGCTGATGTTTATCTACAGATCAAGTATAATAATATGAACATTGTATCATCCTGGAGAGAGTTTAGTCGTCTTGACTGTCGTAACTGAACGCGACGTACTGTTTGAATGCTGAATGGAGGATGACTGACAGCCGCAGCGGAGAGAAGAGTATACGTCAACTTGAATTTAACGACTTAAATATTCATACCTCACATTAAACTATGGAACGGTCTCAGAACACTTGCAATATAGTGCACGGAAACTTTATGGTGCTTTATAATGTTTTTGTGCCTTTCGTGGGGCTTAACAATAACAGAATAGTATACGCACTATAACACACACTCACATACTCACACACACACACACCCTCTCTCTCAGACACACATATACACACTCACATACTCACACACACACACCCTCTCTCTCTCAGACACACACATATACACACTCACATACTCACACACACACACACTCTCTCTCTCAGACACACATATACACACTCACATACTCACACACACACACGCTCTCTCTCAGACACACACATATACACACTCACACACACACATACTCACACACACACACACACACTCTCTCAGACACATACATATACACACTCACACACTCACATACTCACACACACACACACCCTCTCTCAGACACACACATATACACACTCACATACTCACACACACATACACACACACTCTCTCTCTCAGACAAACACATATACACACACAGACACACACAACAGCGAGATCTGCAACGTCAGTAACACACACACACACACTCACACATATACACACATACACACACAAACACACACACACAGACACACACAACAGCGAGAGCTGCAATGTCAGTAACACACACTCACACATATACACACACACACATACACAGACACACACAACAGCGAGAGCTGCAATGTCAGTAACACACACTCACACATATACACACACACACATACACAGACACACACAACAGCGAGAGCTGCAATGTCAGTAACACACACTCACACATATACACACTCACATATATACACACACACACATACACAGACACACACAACAGCGAGAGCTGCAATGTCAGTAACACACACTCACACATATACACACTCACATATACAAACACTCACTCACTCACACACAGACACACACACTCACATATACACACACACTCACTCGCACACACACACACACACAGCGAGAGCTGCAACATCAGTAACACATACACACTCACATATAAACTCACACACACTCACATATACAAACACTCACTCACTCACACACAGACACACACACTCACATTTACACATTCACACTCGCTCACACACGCGCACACTCAGACACACACACAGACACACACACTCACGCACACACACATGTGTGAAGTGTTTGTAAGATGTTCTCCTGTGCATATACATATGAATAATGTGCATAATTATTATTAGTGAATAATATGATGTGTGTAGTTTATTTATATCATGTAGGTCTGAGGTTTGACCAGGAGATGGAGACATTTAGAATCTAAATAAAACCAGACTACAACACACACACTTTTCACACACAGCGCTTTTCAAGAAGCAAGTCGTTGCAAAGCAGCTTTACAGAAAATTTAAGATTCTACATTATATTTAGTAATAGCTTATCAGTGATGACTATCTCAAGTTGATGTCCATTATAGCAAAATTTGGTAGTTTTGTATGTTGTCTGAGGGGTTTGCATCATCTCTATGCGATAAATTATTTGAATGCTTGGCCAAAGAGATGTGTCTTTAATCTAGATTTAAACAGAGAGAGTGTGTCTGAACCCCGAACGTTATCAGGAAGGCTATTCCAGAGTTTGGGAGCCAAATGCGAAAAAGCTCTACCTCCTTTAGTGGACTTTCCTATTCGAGGTAATCCCAAAAGTCCAGAGTTTTGCTACCTCAGGGAACGTGATGGATTGTAGTATAGTAATATTTTGTAACTGATACGGAACTTAACAGGTAGCCAGTGTAGAGACTGTAAAATTGGGGTAATATGATCATATTTTCTTGACCTGGTAAGGACTCTAGCCGCTGCATTTTGGACTACCTGTAGCTTGTTTATTGAAGATGCAGGACAACAACCTAGCAGTGCATTACAATAGTCCAGTCTAGAGGTCATGAATGCATGAACTAGCTTTTCTGCATCAGAAACAGGTAACATATTTCGTAACTTGGCAATGTTTCTAAGATGGAAGAATGCTGTTTTTGTAACATGAGAAATATGATTTTCAAAAGACAAGTTGCTATCTAATACAATACCCAGATTTTTGACCGTTGAGGAAGTAACAATACTTCCGCCTAGTTGCTGCTTTTTGGTCCAATAAGTAATATCTCTGTCTTATCCGAATTTAATAGGAGAAAATTATTGGTCATCCAATCTTTTAAATTTTTAACACATTCTGTTAGCTTAGATAATTTAGAAGTTTCATCTGGTCTTGTTGAGATATACAGGTGCATCGCAATAAATTAGAATGTCGTAGAAAAGTTCATTTATTTCAGTAATT